TCTAGTAAGAACATCCATCATTAAAGCAAAAAAGATGTGGACTTAAAGCTAATCCTTGATGTAATCCAATTGAAATCAAAATATACTTGATCAAACCACCTTATATTTGAATAAAAGTAAGAGCGCCTGTATACATAGCATTGATGACTTAAATATAAGCATTATTAACTTTTTTCTTTTCTAGAACTCTCCAAAGCATTTCTCTTGGAACTTTATCATGCATATTCTCTAAATCAATAAATATCATATGTAAATCCTCTTTACTCCATAAAATCTCTCAACAAATGTATACCTTCCATAGTAGACCTACTCAGCATGAATCCAAATTAATTTTGAAAACATTAGTATTACGTTGTAATCTATGCTCAATTACTCTCTTCCATAATTTTAATGTATAACACATTAACTTAAATCCTTTGTAATTTGCACCTCTTATGCATCACCTTCATTCTAAAAAATAAGAACTAACATGCTCTTTCTCAACTCATCTAATATCTTTTTAGTCTTCAAAATAATATTAAATTAAACTTAATTCATATCATGTGATTTTTGTTATGAATATATGCAAGAATCAATTTTTAATTATTATGAACCCAATACATGCAAGTATTAAGATAATAACAAATTAACAACAACAATAACATCAAGCATTTATCTCACTATATGGGTCGGCTATATAAATCATTTTTCTCCATTATGTCTTCTTAAGAGTCAAATTCTTATTTAAATCAAATTCTGATTTAAATCTAATAAAAAAAGTTTGAGAGGTCAAATTCCCATTATGTCTTAAGTTTGATAGGTACTTTTCACAATACGGCCGATGCATTTCTCCATTTCAACCATCCAACTTGAATTCTACTAATAATATCCCCATCTATTTCACTATTGCTTTGAATAGTACACCCGAGATATCTAAAATGTGTACTATTTTAATGACTTAATCACCCAACATCACAATCCCACCACTAAATTTACTACTACAAAAATAATACTCCATGTATTTAGTTTTAGATATACTCAAACAAAAACCTTTAGACTCTAAGGTTGACCTCCATAATTTAAGTTTCCTTTTAACTCCTTATCTAGTTGTATCAACAAGAATATAAAATGTCTAGTAAGAAAAACCATGACTAAAGCAAAAAAAGATATAGGTTTAAAGTTGATCTGTGATGTAATCCACTGAAATAGAAAAAAACTTGATCAAATCACTTTATGTTTGAACAAAGTAATATGTTATATATATATATATATATATATATATATATATATATATAATGACTTGAATATATGTATTATTAACTTATTTCTTTTCTAGAACTCTCCGTAGCTCTTCACTTGAAATTTTATCATATGTTTTCTCTAAATAAATGAATACCATACGTAGATCAATCTTAGTCTATCTATACTTCTCCATCAAACCTCTGAACAAATGTATAGCTTCTATCGTAGACCTAACCAGCATGAATCCAAATTGATTTTGAGAAACATTAGTATCATGTCGAAACATATTTTCAATTACTCTCTCACATAATTTTAATATATGGCACATTAATTTAATTCCTCTACAATTTGCACACTCTTGTGCATCACTTTTGTTTTTTAAAAGAAGAACAAACATACTTTTCTCCACTCGTTTGATATCTTTTAATCTTTAAAATAATATTAAAAGGTTTAATGAGACAAAAAATTCATTGATCTCCTAAGCATTTCCACGCTTCATTTATATATCATCAGGTTTTACAGCTTTTCCACGCTTCATTTTTTATTATAACTTCGATTTTAATAATATTATGATAAAAAATATCTATTTTCATTTAGGGTGTTATGATCACTAAAGTCAATCGTATTCTCAAAATTTTCATTGAAATGTTTATTGAAATATCTCATCCATCTAGGTTGAATATCATTTTCTAAGAAAAATATATTTTTTATCTTTAGCATTAATGCACTTCACTTGAACTAGATCTTTAATTCTCATATTTATTTATTTAGCTAACTTATGCATATATAATTCGCCCTCATTAGTATCTAATTTATTATATAAATCATTAAAAAATAAACTTTTTGCATCGCAAATTGCTTTCTCAATTTACTGAATTTTTACATCTTAATCAATTTTTTATAACAAAATTTCATATTTTTATATTTTTTGTATATTTTAATTCTAACTCCAACTTTTTTTAGTATTAGGAGTTTTTCCTTTTGATACTCCAAGTACATGCTTTGCAACATTAGCAATATCTCTAGATACTTTTATTCACATAATATTCTAAAAAAAAAATGCATTCTTTAAATACCATCATCTAATTTTAGACTAATATTTTACTTTACTTTTCATATTGCATCCTTTCACTTAAAGTCTAAACTAATCCGCAACATTAGATGGATAAACTCTCACTTAGAATAACTTTACAATATTTACGATCTAAACGATTTATTTTTTATAAGAAAATAATTCATCTGAGTTTTATTATATCCATTTTTATAAGTTATGAGATGCTCCTCATTTTTCTTAAATAAGATATTAGCCATTACAAAATTATAAACCAAAATCTAATATGATCTGATCATCTTCATTAATCACTTCATATCAATAATCATCATAAATGCTTTTAAAATATTATATCACTCTACTAAAATATCCATATAAATCTCATCAAACAAAAACTCTTTCTTCAAAAGATATTCTTTATAATAATTTTCTTCTAAGTCATTCCAAAATTTTAATTTTAAACACATATTCAAACAGACTAGAAAAGCATAAGCACTTATAATATTAATAATCTTAATATCAACAACAATATTTAAAATTATAATTCTATCTTCAATTCTATTAAATTCTATAACACTATCATTCAAACTCTTATCTGCAATCACACATACGTCATTTCTAGTATGACTCCTAACTAAATGCAATAGTTTAAATTTTAAACTATCAAATTGTTTAACCTTTTCTCAAATCCATATAATTTCTTGAATACATAAAATATTTATCTTCCTATTAATCATAATATATATTAATTATATTAATTTGCCCATAAGAGAACCTATATTATAAGTTTATATTCTAATTCTAATTTCATAGACTAACTTATTTGCCCACATCCATTCATAATATGGGAACACTTATTTAACACTGCATCAGGGCACCAATGTAGCTGCCTTTGCACAGTTTCATTGTATTCAACCTATATAGCGCGTCGCTTCCAAGGAACGCCCTAGCATTTTTGGGATCCCATTCAAATCCTTCTAGATTTTTGATTCTTTTGAAGACAATTCAATAGTATTTGCTCTTATAATAAATATCATTATAACTTGAATTCTTCTCAAGACCTCAATAACAATATTAATTCCCATGAATCTTGGAGTGAGAGCTCCAAAAAAAATCCCATAAAGACCTTCCTCAACAAAACAAACTCTAAAGGGGGATTAAGTCTCTTTTTTAAGCTTTATTGTAAGAGACTCCTCGAAGTTCAATAAAACTAAAAAATTATACCCCACAAACCACAGGTGGAGCCAACATAAACTCAGTCAACCATGGAAACTAATTTTCAACGATGATGTTGCATTTGGTGGTTTCATGTCTACAGGTTATGGGATTGTGTCGACTAAGTTGTCGATAGGTGCCAATTATGGTTTATCTAGGTCATTCAAGAGTGTATATAATTTCCCAATACAAATATGATTATGAAGGAACTTCTCATCACAATTAAAACAAAACCCCTTTTCCTTGGTGTGCAACCACTTCAACTAGAGTTAATTTTTTTTTTAGGGCATTGGAGATGTTGGTTATAGTGGAAGGTATAATGGCTTTGGGAGATTGGGTTGGAGAGGTGGTAAGGGGCTAGTTGATGAAGAGGATTTGTTGTTTATTGAATTGTGAATATTGACTTTTAAATCGTAATTTAAAAAAAAAAAAACTCTATAGAAAATTCCATTAACCCCAAAGATATTATTGGAGCGTTTTTTTTTAACTGTAGTTAGTAATCAGCCATTGTGGCAGATTTTATTAGTTTAATTAATTCATCATGAAGGTTACAATAATTTGATGGTCCAAAGCAAATGCAAAGAGCTGTAATGATATCTAGCCAAAAGGTGAGATGACTTGTTTTCACAAACCACAAGTACCACACATCAACTAGTCAGCCCACATTTAAGGACTTCAATGTGATTTGTCTAGATCGAATAATTTGCGAAAGCCATATTTGGGTTCGCTCGACGTTTTGGATCCAAATCTTCATTGTGTCACTTATGAATTAGGGAATGGGGATGGGCATTGCATTGAGCGTGTTGTTGCCCATCAATTCTACATGCTTTGTTCGTCGACAACAAGGTGTGGAGGCTATTTGATAGGAGCGACTAAGGGCAGATATTGCTCAAATTTGACTTCCACGAGGGTTAAGCAAATTTGGATATCCCTAAGAGTCTAGTTGATTGTGGCAAGTTTGTCTTCAATAGCAAAGAGGCAATCACTCTCCTTAAATGTGTTGCGGGTTCAATCATCCATTTCAATAATGAGCTCAACAAGAGCATTAGTTGATATGGGTGAACAGCAAGTCAAGGAAGATGATGGCAACTCCTAGGACACAGCATCATTACGGCAAAAAGTGAACAAGAAAGAATAAGAGAAAACTAAGAAATTATAAGGAATTTTGGCATTTCATTATCCCAATGCAACTACTGTAGCCATTTTATGCAAATCCCTCTTCATGATTACCAAAGTAGCGCATTTTTTTCTACTAAGCACCAAGTGACACAGCCTAAACTCAAAAGATTAAATAAAAATAGGAGCCCTATTCCTTCGTTAACAAACTCAGGGAAAATTACATGTGTTACCATTTATTCACCCAATTGAATGCCCATTAATTAACCAATCTCCACGTGATGCTTGAGGCAGGTCAAAGGATTGCGCTTTAGGTTGAGTCGTGGTTGGATAGAACTGCAATTGGCTCATCGCCGGCTTGGTGCATATAAATTTATCAGAAAAAACTGCTAAATGGTAAGCATGATAATAATAAGTAACACAAAAAACAATCATGTTCAGATGACAAGTGAGCCTTTTAAATGCATATAAGATATTCATAACAATAAACAGAATCGAAACAATGGAATCCAAGAATCGGTGAACCACATGATTCAAATGGATTCACAAGCAAGGGGAAAAGAGAAAGGGTAGGAAATTAAAGAGGTATCGAGTCATGCTCATTTACTTATCCAACCTTACTCCAATATCAAACTACCCACCTGTACTACTCATAAAATTATGGGAATTTTCATGTAATTAAAGTGATTTCCATCCGTGCATAACGACCTAATTACCTAGGTTGCCCCGACGATGATGTTGTTGATCGGAATAAAAATTAGTTTCACGAAGAAGCCCACAAATCCCATGACCACAAAGCCAATCGCCGTCCGTACAGCCACCTTCGTAAATTCTGCATTCCAAAGGCAATAATTCCAATCAAAATAGGTTCCAAAATCAGGAATGTAGATCCATACATGTAAGAATCGCAATTCGATCGGCGGCTGAAGGACAGGAGGGAGGGTGACCGAGCTGTGATTTGGAATTTACCCTTCCTGTCCGGCTTGTGGCATCGCTTCACGAGACGGACGCTGTCCTTAGCGAATTCCCTCAGAGGATCAACAACAGAGTCAACGGCATCCATGACGCTCGCGAAATGGAGATGATCGCGATCTGATCTGAGAGAAGACGGCTCGTTTTCGCGACGGGGAAGGAGGAATTAGGGCAGGAATGGATTGAAATAACGCGCCGGGTGCTACTCAAAAAAATTTAGGTAAATTTACATGCATACCACTGTATACCTATCATTTTATATATCTTACATATCTAACACCTCATTTATTAATATTACACAAATACCACTCAAAATCTTATTACACATCATTTCTACCACTCCTTCACGGACGCTCACGACGTCATATTCCCGGTTTTTCATTTTTTAGGGCTTGAACAGGCGAAGCTATGGAGGGGGAAAACGCTATTTAGATCGTATCTCTTCACAATCCAAGGTAAAGAATGAAAATATTGTTTTGATTTGAGGTGTAGATGTTAAATGCAGGTTTCGACATCTCTTCCAACCGCTGGTCGCTGAGATCGGACTGAGATCGAATGCATATATGTGAAGATCGGAACTCTTCACAATCGTTAATTTTTTAGTTGTTTTAACTTTGATTGTAGTAGATGAGTCCCTTTTTTTTAACGGTTTTTCTTTTTTACGCCTATATGTGAAGATCGGAAGTCTTCACAATCGCCATTGGCCTGTAGTAACGCCTTTTTTCTGTTGTCATTGGATAGCAGTGTTTATTCGATGTTAAAAATGGTGTTTAATTTTGATATTTAATGTTTGAGCAGATTGCAGTAGATGAGTATTGAGTTACTCTTCCCATGTTTCTACACGTTGTTGCTAAACACAAAAATTGTATAAATGAAAGGGTGTTTTCTTAAAGTTCATGTGTTAACTGAAATTTTTTTGCAATTTATTAACTGATTTTTTTTTTTTTTTTTTTTTTTTTTTTTTTTTTTTAAATTTTTTTTTTTTTTTTTTTTTTTGCAGTTTAAATGAGTTCTTCAAATTCATCTGTTGCGAAAGTCAGGCGGCAGCAATCCCAAGTATACTGTCATTGTCACCTCAAATGTGTTTTGTTCACCTGCCACCAAGGACCAAATAGTGGAAGACAATTTTATAGGTGTATTTATAATCGAAGTGATGATGATTGCCATTACTTTAAATGGGTTGATGAAGAAGAAGAGCCATGCTATGTCACATATAACGAATTAAATGTCTACAAGAGAAGGAATTCTAAGAAGCTTGACCATATTCTCTTGATGATTAAAGTTTTTGTTGCAGTTTGTTCTTATTGACATTACAATTCAACTTTATTTTGGATAGTATTATGTGTTATTGAAGTAGATTGTATGGATGGTTTAAGAAGACGATATGAATTATGTTAGTAGTTTATGTTGTATTTGTGGAAGGTTACTAGTTCTAGCGTTGTTGTGACTAGAGCTAGCTTTTTTGGCATGTATTCCATTATCTTTTTGTATCTTAAATGATTTTGTGGAATGAAAACAGTATTTGTTTCATTGAAATGCTAATTTTTGTATCTGTAGTCAATGAAATCAGTATTGAATGAAATGTTAATGTTTGAATGTTTTAACTCAAAGAACATCAGTTTCTCATCTTGACCGTAAGCATGTTCTATTTTAACTCAAAGATGTAAAAAAATCAAGGCTTTGACTGCAATGCACGTGTTCTGTAAAACTGTATGTTTACGGTCAAGATGACTTGGAGTTAAAAATGAGTTAATTACATAACGTGTTCTGCAAAACTGGATGATATAGCATGCTGCCATTACCTATATAGCATGCTGGGAGAAGTTTTGCAAAACTTTATAGCATGCTACCATTACAGATAGTGTTCTACATCAGTTTGCAAATCCAAACTATGTCCATATAGCATGCTAGGCGGTCTTCTCATGTATAGTAGGCTATGTCTTCTCATATATAGCATCTGCTAGGTTTCCTGAGAAACGAATTAGCAGAGATCTCAACAATTCAAACCAGTATATCATTGGACAGCTCAATAATTAGCAGTGTTACAAAATATATAGCAAAAAACTGAATGCTTTTTGTTTGGGTTCACCTTCCACATTAACAGTGTTACAAAATATATAGCCAAAAACTGAATGCTTTTGTTTGGGTTCACCTACTACATTAACACTGTTACAAAATATATAGCCAAAAACATGCACAACCTCCTAATACTTATAGACCTTCCACATAAGGAAAATCGTATTCATCACCCTCAAAGATTTCCGTTGGCGTTCTTCTGCTTGGTAATTTTGATCGTTTCGGTTGCCCTTCTTGCATTTGCAATGTGTCATCGATGATGTTCTTTAATGGATTCTTGCATGTACTTCGATGATGACCCAAAAGTCCACATCTGCTACATTTGTGAATTTTTCTTTTCTTTTCCAAAAAATTGGCAATCTTCTTCTTTTAGGCCTTCCTCTAGGTCTTGATGTATTGGGCGCTCCTACTTCAACCAAATCTTGAACAACCTGCCACTGATCCTTCCCAGGTAACATAGCAATAGCTCCATCATATGATAGCCGGTACCTAAAGCACTCGTAAATGGTCAACCTAATGTAACACATCATTTGAACATTAAAAGAAGAATATGTAGATATTACCTATAAATGTAGTAGTAATCATTAACATATGTATGCCATAATGGATGCTCTTTCTTCCCAATAAATGCTATGGCATGGATGCAAGGAAGTCCAGTTAATTTCCAAACATTACAAGTGCATTCTTTGGTCTCAATATCAACAATATGTCTGCAATGGAGTGATTCCACTTCAGCCCTATGAAAACTGGATTGCCTAATTAATAAATGTTCTTTCCTGGTAGTTATTTCTCTTATATATTCCTCTGCATGGGGCACTAACTCACGATGCCATGTTGAACTTGTAATTTTATGTGTTGCCCTTTGTTCCATGAGTTTACCACGAATCGTGTCAATTAAGTCAACAACCGGTTTATTTCTAGCATCCACAATCCACGCATTTAGGGGTGTCAAAACGGGTCGGCGGGTCGGGTTCGGGTCGAACCCGAGTTGACCCGGGTCTAAACGGGTCAACCCGAACCTGACCCGGTTTTACAAACGGGTCCAGAATTTTAACCTGAACCCGACCCGTGCGGGTTACGGGTTGACCCGACCCTCTAAAATTGATGCATGTGGTCTACTTCAGGTATGCTTCTGTTCGAAGTGTCGAACGACCTGAACACTAAGGTGGTCGAGGCGGAACCGCGGTGCGACCGGAGCATCGTGAGGGCGAGGTGGACTGTGGATGCTGGACTTAGCGTGGTCGAGGCGGCACAGGGAGGTGGAGGCGTGGAGCGACAAAGCACCTAAGACCGGAGTTGGCTAAACGACGGTGACTGGACGAAGCGACGGAGCCATGGGCGACGCGATTGGGCGAAGCCTGCGTGATTGAGCGACGCACGATGCAAAGCCTGCATGCGATGCGAAGCTTAACGCGATTGGGCGACGCGATGACATGAGGCGACGGGACAGCCGGACACTCGGACAAGCTGGTATGACGTGATAAGTCATTTTCCCAAACATAAATTGACTTCGTGACCACTTGTAAGGTAATGACATAAGGTACATATGGAGATTAGGATGTAAAACACATAGCTCAGCTAGCTTAATGGTATACTCTATGCTAGTGTAAGCATTTACTGCTCCCCAAACCAAACCTTGGAGTTTATGTCCTTCTTTGCAATGAAAATTTTTTTTTAATATTTTTCCACATATGACAACTACAAATTCTATGCTCAGCTGTATTGTATACTTCTTTAATGGCTATGGGTCTCTGAAAGGATTCTGCTCATGTGGTTTGAATGTAAAGAGTGCGATCACACTATCTCGTAGGACAAAATGGTCGTAGGCCTTTACAATCGACACAAGCAGGCCGATGGAAGAGCAGATGGAGTTATAGATATGATTAGTCATAGAGAGTAGCGGCTTTCACCTACCAACCTCAATGGATAATAATATATATATAACCCTAACTTCACGAGATTTCCCCCATTCGATACATCAGCTCGAATGAGGTTTATTTGATTGTCGGGATCGGTTTCCTACGGGCACAAGCCCCCGTAGTTAATTACATCTTAGACCTTGATCTAAGAAAACTCTCGATTAAGGATGTTGTATTATTCACTTCTTAATTTGGTGCACATAAAAAGTTCCTAAGTTCTATTCCAAAGAGTCTCTTCTATTTACCCTTAATGATGACTAGACTTTTTTTAGATGAATAAA